ATTTTTTATTTGATGCCAGTTGAAATTTTGTGTATTAATTACCATTGTCAAGATTTTAATTGGAAATAGTGGGCTTTTTAAAATTTTAGGAAAAATATTCAAGACTATTATTGGAAATACTTATATATATATATAATATGACAAACTTGACTATTTTCTTCTCAGACCATAACTGAAAGTAAAAAAGTAAGATGTAATGAAACATGTTTATGTCGAGGTAAAAACCTTTATATTTTTCCAGACACAGCTTTAGGTCATAATGAAGACCGTCAACTGATGTGTAATGACTACTATCAGCGAACACACATGTTATCCTGTGAGCTGAGGACACTCAAAAAAGAGAAAAAGATGCAGGTTATCACGAAAAAAAATTTCTTGGTGACATAAGAACAGATTGACAAATACTTGTGTTTGCAAATGCTGTCAATTGTTTGGTATTATTTATTTTCTGTTTCAAAGTAATGACATTTCTTTGTATATTACTCTTCTTGCTGTTAAATGATGTTCTTGGACTTTTACCAGCATAGTCATACTTTTTTGCATGGTTTATGAATTTTCTATATATTTTATTCTTACAGATGAGTGAATTGATGGATAAAATTGATGAGCAGGAAGATTTCATGAGAAAGACCACCCGGTCCACTTCACACAAGATTGGACAGCTGCAATCAGCACTGGACGAAAGGAAGGCTGCATTTAAGTCGCTTAAAGCAAAGTAAGTATTAGGCAATGCTTTCTTTTTTAAAACTGGTTAAAGCTGGTTTTTAAAGTAACATTTTTTACTATTAAACCTTGTTAAAAAGAATAGCTTCTATTTGTACTCTTTGGAAACCATTATTAACATTCGCATATGGTTATATACGTTTACCTATAAAACAGATAGCACCATTTACATAATGATATTTTTCTGTGTTTATATGCCGTCACTTTTCTTTAAATTTTTGGCTTTATTTGTAGGGTATCGATGACTGTCTGTAGTTAAGTCAGAACTGGTTCCAAAACAGAAAAATAAGTCCCATGATTAAGCATTTACTTTGTTATTACAGATTATCAATGGTAGAATCAGAACTTGCTCTAGAGCAGCAAAAGTCCCATGATTTAGAGGGTCTTGTGGCCAGGATGAAAACGGATCAGTCAGAGCTGAGCATCAGGCATCAGAGTGATCTGAGGCAGGAGAGAGAGGTAAGTGCACTTAATAACAAGATATCGCATGTGCAATACTACATGGGGATTGTGCTTTGGCACATTGACCGTTCAGATATTTTGTCTTTTTTCTTGTAAATTTTTCCTTTTAATATTACTGTCACATATTGTACTTATTTGTAATGAACATCCAGAATTTCTTTTTTTCAGTTTGTATGAATTACTGCCTACTTTTATATTTGGCCTTATATTTAACCTCACACAAAAGTCAGCCTATATATGACAGTGCATTTCATCATGAACATTTTTCATATTTGCCTTATGTATCATTTGTTATATTTTGTTAATTGACTTTCTGCTGCTTTCAGGACAGAACCTCTGTGGAAAGCAGACTTTTAAGGGAATTATCTGAAGTTAATGACAGAAATGTGCAGCTAGAAGCTACGGTGAATTGAAATAATAAGTAGTTGAAAAATTATGGCACATTTGAAATAGTTTAATGGTTCTGTTTTGATAAAGTTTTCAATTTCAGACCAAAATTAGAGAATGGAATAAGTCATTTAAATTGGTAATCTTGTTTAATTACTTAGCTTCCCAAACAAGGGTCAAACACTATTTAACATGAATAGACAATATTTATCTATAAACATGCTTTCTTTTTGCTTGCTAGGCACAAATATTAACATTTTGAAAAATCCTTCTCATGATTGTTGTCATTATTATTTTGTCAGGAAGATGAACTTAGCAGAAAGGGCAAGCAGCAACAAGATCAGATATATGATCTTAAAGAGCAGCTGACACATGCACAAGCTGACATAAGACTTAAAGGAGCACAATATGAAGGTTTGCTCTTATAATTAGTGTTTTTACATAATAAGCAATTAGTACGGTAAATTTTGAGCATTATTTTACCAATGAAGTTCCTTTTGTCTTTGTGTTGTCACTGATGTCTGATGGTTTACTTCTTCTTTGCAGAGAAACTTAATAATGAAAAGCAAAAAAACAAAGAAATTTTACAAGAGGTGGAGTCTCTCAAGACACGAGAGGTGAGACGGGTGTTTCATTTTAAAGTATATTTATTACAGTGTCATAATATTTATTCCATTTCCAAAGATTGCTAATTGATTTTACATTTACTTGGCTTTTTATGTGGATGGGTCACCATGAAAAAAAAAGTCTAACTGTAGTGTATTGAATCACTTTCATTTAACCCTCANGACTAACTTTTGGAAAAGTTAATTTCTACATATGTTGTAAATTATTTCAAAACTAATTATTTATCCATTGATGGGGTATAAGTTGCTTGAGGATTACATGAAAGGAACAGGCTCAAAACCTCATGCAAACGAAGAGAGAGCAAAAGATACATGGGTCCGGGCCTGCGAGGCCCCTGAAAGGTGATTGAGGGTTAATACTGATACTGACATGAACAAGACTTCACATCAGTTTCATTTGTTATAAAAAAGAATATTTTTTATTTTTATACTTTTAACTTCTATATCAGATTGCCAAGCTACAGCAAGACTTTGATGACACTGAGAAGCAGCTCAGAGAAAGAATCAACAAACTAGAGAGGCAGCGTTTGGAGTTGGAAGAAGAAGTGAGCAAGCTGAAATCTCAGGCAGCGGCTGACAGGATCAAAGCTGAGGAGGAATTGGCCACAGTTAAGCAGAAAATAAGGTCTGATGAGGTGGGTGGAAGCTCTAGGCCAACTTAATCATGTTGAATCTCAGACAAATACTAGTCAAATTAACTTGTAAAAGAACATTTTAAATAATGTGCTTTTTTTTGTTTGCTTGAATTAATTAAATATATGTATTATTAAGTTTGAATTAAAATGCATTTTGATACGTAACTTTTATTAACACATCATTTGTCTCTTAGTAACTATATCCTCAATCTTACAGATATGTGTATATTCAGGTGTTAAAAGTTGTTTCACCCCATTAGGAGCAACGTCAGAAGCAGCTGGAAGACAGAATGCGTCTCCTGCAACAGTCCAAGGATGAGCTGCAGTCTCATAGTAACCACCAGAAGGCCCTGATATTAGAGCTCCAAGGGAAGAACAGCAGCATGGAGCTAGAACTTGAGACACACAAGAGAAGGATTGATGCACAGAACACAGTAAGAACACCCTGAGTGACCTCTGTAAGCAGCATGTCTCTTGGGGTTGCTTATAACAGTTACTGAAATGGCAGGAGTCACTGTGATTTAAAATATCAGTTTCCAGTTTACTCTGACACTTAGGGTGAATAGGCTTTCTTGGCAATTCAATTATAATAATGAATCAAAGAAAATTAATGTGTGCATATGTGTTACTTAATTATTGATTTTGTATTTGTTATGAAAGTTTTGTTATAATTGAATTGCTATATTCTACTAGTTATTGTTTTCTAATCTAGGAATTGTCTGGGAAGAACAATGAGATGATGGCTGAAGTTGGGAAAGTAAAACTGGAAGTTAAACAGAAAATGGCTCAATTAGAAACTGAAAGGCAAGCTCAGAATGAATTGAAAGAAGAAATAGAAAGACTGAAGAGGCAAATCTCAGGTATGTTAATCTCTGTGACACTTCTCTCCCTTAACTGTATTATTTTGTTAAATATGCACTATATTACCATTAAAAATGCTTTGGATAATTGACAGCAAGTTTTTTTTTTACATAAAATGGCTTTCTATCTAACAGCAATGACATGAAATTGGCATTACATTTTATCTTCAGAGCAAACAGGAAAGCACAGGGAACTCATCCATGATAAGGAAAGAGAAATTGAGAGTTTGCAAGAAAAAGTCAGAGAAAAAGACAAAGAACTTATCCGTATGAGGGAAGAGGATGCTCAGAGATCATCAATGCTCCAGTCTGCCATTATGACTTATGTGGCAAGGTCACCACATAAATGATGTTCACAGATGTCCCAGGTTTGTGCTAGAACCCTGACTGTATAACTGACTGTATAACATTCCATTGATAACATTCCACCGAGAACAGAACAAAAAGAAAAATCTTTTCGAGATAGTTTTTAGCTGAAATTAAAAGTAATTCAAATAGTTCTATGCTTGTAAAGACAAACATTGGAGAAACTCATATGCCTGCCACTTGGTCAAACCCATGCCCAGACGTTGCCCCTGTGAGAGTTAATGCAATCAATATACCATTCACACAACTGTGTGAACACATTTGTCGTACAGTGTACAGCCCATGTGGCATGTTAATGTAGTCTTCAAACTTCAGTTAAAATGAACTGTTGATGCATAATATTGCTCAAATGTACATACTAGTAGCAGAATAGATTCCATCAATCTTTGTCACTTTTTCAGCAATAATGTTGGACAATTATTGTGTAATGGTACATATTGCAGTACAGATTGTTGTAAAAAGATCTGTTCTGTCAATATTTATTTTCAATAATCTCTTTAGTTTGTATAGTATTAAAATTTTGCAACTGCAAATGCTTTTTAATTTGTAATAAATCCTAGATTCAGTCACTATTAGTTATCTTGAAATAGTTGTATATGGTTTCTTTTAAATTTGTGCTAAGATGGGGTTTATGATACGATATAAATATATCATACAAAAAATGCAATAGTATAAATTTTGACATATTTGAGTACATATACATCATAAAAACCATATGCATCATCTTTTTTTCTGCTTTGTGTCTGTACACTTGTAAAAAACCTGAAGAGTCCTTTTGATTTCAGTTATAAAAAATATAAGTTATATCAAAACAGTTCTACAAAAGTTCTAATAAAATATGATACAATTAATACAGTAGTATGAATACTGACTGTAGACTCAACTGGTTCATTTACAGTCAGTATGAATACTGACTGTAAATAAACCAGTTGAGTCTACTGGGATACTTAAAGTTCATTATCCAGTGATAAACACTGAGGGGCAGATTGATAACGTCCACTGTCTTCTAACACACCGTGTGGGGCACATATCCAGGGATCTGCTGTCTGGTTCTGCCACCAGGACAACTGATGTCTCATTTCTTTAAATACTGAAGAAGCCTGTGGATCTTTGGCCAAGTTGTGCAACTCTCTTGGATCATTCACAATGTTGTAAAGCTCCCATTCCGCTCTGTAGTAATACTGTTTTAATGTTTTAAACCAGTGGGTATCCTTACCCACCCTAGTCCTGTTTAATAAATCTTGAAATGATGGAGAAACATAAAAATCCTGATCTATTGGAAAAGGCATCTTGTAATTTATATTGTGAATTAGTTTGTAGTTTCTATTTCTTATCACTCGCATTGGATAATACATGGTCACTTCGTGTAAGTTGTGACTAGCATACACTGTGTCCCAGCCCTTGATTGGCTCAGCGTCCATCACCGGGAGCAGAGACTGTCCAGTCAGTTGGGTCCTTTCTCTGTGGCCGAATATACTGTAATTTGGGTATTGGAGACCATACCAGTCCAGTGCTGTGGGGACTATATCTGTCAGGCTGACCATTGCCTTGGAAACCTGAAGGTAAATTTTTAGGAGGTCAATAACTACTCAACTTTGTCCCATTTAATCAAAAAGGTGTATTAAATGTACTCAAAGGTTTAATCATTAAATTGTGTAAATCTATATGAAATACACTGGTAAATCTTGCATGCATTATCTCAAATTGCATTGATGTTTTTATGAGCATTACAGTTCACATGTAGTTAACGTCATTCTCAAGTCATAAGATACCAACCAATCACCAAATTTACTCTCCCGTATTTGGATACAAATATTTGTCCCCTGTGCTCTTAAACATGAGGTTGCACAGAGGAAGATCATTTGTCAATTTAAAAATCATGAAGTCATTTTCTATCTTATCTACTTACCTGTCCCCATCTCCTGCTATGATGTGGTGAAGACACCAGCATAGGTTCAGTCATGCCAGAGTCATACAGATTGGTCCTGCCATTGGGAAATGGGATGCCATTATCTGAGCTGTATATTACCAATGTGTTATCACCAAATCCAGCAGATGTCAGCTCCTTCATGATAAGGCCAATACCTAATTTTTAATAAAGTGGTATTCTAAAATGCTGTAATATTATTCTCAATGTCTCCTCAATGTATACTTACTCAATCACTAGAAACTGACAAAAGAATTTAATTTAATAAAGGACAAACCCAAGTATGATGTTCGAAATTTGGCTGTTGACAACCGCATTTATTGTAATGCCCCTCTGATAAAAGAAATGATTTAAATTGGTATTTGACATTTAACAAACACAACAAAGATGTGTAAGCCAAAAATGTGTGTTGCGGAGGTGCAGAGCTGAATGTGTCAAAAGCTTCATTTAAAAGTTGGTGCAGATGTCAGCTCCTTCATGACAAAACCAATACCTAATTTGAAAATGAAAGTGCTTTTCTAAAAGGTTATAACATTATCCTATACTGTGCACAAGTACTTTTGCTTATCATTCCTAAATAAGACATCAAACATAGGTTTACTTATGATGCATTTCCCTTTCTAATTACATGAATATTTTAATACAGATGTCAACTGACCTTGGTCCATCCTACTGATGGTGGTGTACTGGGCAGCAATGTCCTGCCTGGCAGCTGGGGTGTCTTGTACAAAGGGAGGGACAATGACTTGGTCAGGGTCATACCTGACAGGAGTCCAGTCTGGAATGACACCCATGCCTGCCTGCCCATTGCCAAACTTCTCACAGAACGGTCCAAACTGGGGACTAGTGTGACCACAACGATGTGGATCATGGAAACCAATGTATAGGAAGAAAGGTCTGGAGACAAAAGATGAAAAATTTTTCTTTACAGATCAGCAATTTGTTTATGCCACTATCTTGTGAACATACATTTTTTTTTGAAAAGAATGCCTTTGATTGCAAATAGACATTCCATCATAAATTTTGTTTTAGCCAATAAATTGGTATATTTCTGAGTCAGAACAATAAGAGTTTTAAAAGACAATCTCTGACATTTCCCTTCTAATGGATATCTCCTTCCCTTCACTTCACTTCACTTCACTTCATATTCCAAGGCAAAGAGAACAAGTAAGCAATGGCACTTCACCTGTTAACTATCTTTTACTGACTTGTTAAATAAATAAAAGGGGAAGGTGCATGTAGATGAATTAAATCATAATAAAGACATTTCGTTTACTCCCATACTCAGAACTCACCAACCTGTCATCCTTCTGAGTAAGAAACTCTCTCACAAGGAGTTTGATGTGCGTGATGTTCCTCCCCACCTGGTTGATGCTGTTGTTCATTTCTGTCCTCTCAAAATTGAAGGGATAAACTGATTCTGGAGCAACATGTTTCTTTCCAATGATACCTAAAATTGTGACAAAAATCTTTTAATGTCAGAATATGTACATGTACACCTTCACTTAATATTTTATATATTTATGCCTGTAAATTCAAAGTACTGGATATAATGTATAAAAAATACCAATGAATACAAATATATATATAAGTAAAGTTTTGTTGGCAAATATAGAGGATGACTAGCACTTGGCTTAAATCTACTGAGCTAAAATGATCTATATACCGGGGAATTATGTGTTTAATATACTTGCACATAACACATACAGTAAGTTTTCACCTGTTCTTATCCCAGACTGCCTCAAGATCAGAGGCAGACTCTTCACTCCATCAAAGGAGTGGAAGTGGTGGACACCATGCTGCAAGCCATACATGCCATTTTGATGCTGTGGAAGTCCAGTTAATATGGCAGACCTAGCACAGTGAGATGATTGTTAAAATTATACCCCAGTACAGAACAATGTTAACATAGCTTTATTTTAAATTTCATATCAATGTATAAAGATTGTGTATGTGTATGTGCATTAGGACGAAAATTCATGCGTTAGCACTCCTGTTGACGATTCTGATATGTACGATTCTGATATGTATGGTTAACACAGCGAGTACATATCAGAATCATCAATAGGAGTGCTAACGCATGAATTTTTGTGCTATATGTGCATGTGCACGTGTGTGTGTGACGTGTGTGTGTGTGTGTGTGTGTATGTGAGAGAGAGAGAGAGAGCGAGAGATAGAGACAGAGTAAGTTAGTTAGTTCACAGTGCAGTGGACTATTAAGTTCTGCTGGAGCATCATATACAGTGTAAAATACACTGTACAATAATATACCTGTATTAAACACTTGTACTAACTAGTACCTGCTTGGTGAACAACTGCTCACAGAAGTGAAAGCTTTTTGGAAGATCACACTTTGCTGGGCAAGGCGGTTTAGGTTGGGAGTCTTGCATACTGTGTTGTTGTAGATTTGAGACTCAAAACCTGCATCATCAGCTGAAATTAATTTTATAGATTATTCATTCTTGTTTTGGGGTAAGTCTTCATGCAGTCTGCTGGTTCAGACTGACAACAATATGCATGCCTGTCATTTATTTGTATGTGAAAGCGTCACTTCAATTATTACCACATTTAATTGGTGACTGATTAACTCACCAATGATAAGCAAAATGTTTTTCTTGGAGTCAACAGTGGAAATTACGGTGACATGGAGGAGAAATATCAACAAGCTTTTTCCATCTGTCATCTTCCTTTCGTTTTTCCATGGGTCTCGTTTCTTAGGAAAGAAACACTAATGACTAAAATTCACCTTGATTTAAATCGAGGCTTTATATTGGAGAGCAAAGATGAGACTGGATTTACCCACAATTCTATCTGAGCAAGTTACTAGTTCCGGTGGAGGGAAATCACGCTTTCTTTAGCTCGACAAGTAAGTTTATCTTGTTTTAAAAGTCTTTCAACTGAAATCAGATAAAGATGATAATATTTCACCATAAGCGACACAATTATACTCATTTCAATTAAAAAACAGTTCTAGTAGAACTCACCTATTAGCTCTTGCACTCCAAAAACTTGGCAAGACTTGTGAAAACTACCCGTTTTTCGAAATTTCGGCAATAAAAAATGCTGCGGTTAGTACCTTGCAGGTAAGGCCGAAACTGATGTAAGTGAAGGCTGTGAGTGTGATGTTTAACTCGTCAAGCTTTAATGGGATTCTGACGATCTCCTGAAGCCACGATCTGTACAAAGTTGTATGAATATATCAGGCTTTACTACTTTACTAGTAGTCATTAGTATTAGTACATGCAGTTACAATGTTAATTTCTTTTACAGGGACATCTAATAAAAAGGATGGCAAGCTTAGCAACAACTAGAGAGAAGCGTGGCAATGCAGGAGCCAAGATGGCATCACTGCTAGAAAACCTTGAAGATGAGGAATTTTACCAAACAACATATGGGGGATTTCAAGAGGTATAAGAATGGACTTCATTAGTTATTCATTTTATAGTCACTAGTTATTCATTTTAAAGTCATAAGTCAGTACATTTCTACAGCAACATCAAAAGTAGATATTATTTAATGTGCTAAACAAATGTGTTGTAGTCATAAAATTATTATAAGGACAGAGTGGCTAAGTTTGCATTGTCTTCTCATTGTAAACAATTAATAGGTGCTTTTTAAGTTAAAATAGTGCACTATTTCAATGTAGCAGTTTTGGTAATTCCAGGAAGCCAATGATCAAGATTTTGATAGCAGTGATGAGGAGGTGTCATCCTCAGACACTGTGGATTCAGATTTCAGCATTGATGAAGATGATGAAGTTAGGAGTGACATGGAAGATGATGAACCAAAGAGAAAGTCAGCAAAGAGGGGAGTGATCACCAAAGCTTATAAGGCAAGAAATGGCAGGGTTCTTCACTTACATTTTGATTACAGACGGTACATGTCCTTACAAAATATCACTAGTGGAAACTTAGACTGGGAGTGAATACCAGCTTCTTAAAAATACTTAACAGGGGAACAATATACATTACTTTTTTGTTCATATTTTTTATTTAATTATCTAGTAAATAAGTCTTTTATGCTCTACCATATTGTATCTTAATATTTTCATTTGAATCATCCATTTAGGAACCAACCAAGCCCAAAGAGAAGAAACCGAAGGAAAAAAAAGAAAAATCTCAACCTGATAGATCATCAGTACAGATTTATCACACAGCTATTGGTGAGTGTTGTCAGTGGAAGTGATAGTTGAAACTTCTACCTCTATCTGTCTGTTTGTCCATCTGTCTGTGACCATACCTATATTGGTTACCGTGTAAAATTTGGACTCTCATCTATATAAAACTTTGATTTCATGTCAGATATTTTATTTACCTTTTTGTTTACAGATAAGAAGTCCTTGCGAAGAAGCACAGCTATTAAATCCAAGGCAGTGGAGGCTCGTGAAAAGGCAAGAGAGGCTCGCACAAAGCTTATGAAAGAAATAGCTGCCAAGAAAAATGTATCAGAGGTCAGGAGACTCACTCAGGAAGAGCTCCTTGCTGAGGCCAAAGTAACTGAGAAAATTAACTTAAGGGCCCTAGGTAAGACTCTTGAAAATATATATCGATTTGCTGAAAGAATTGACATTCTTCACATTCATATGTGTCAAGATTGAAAAATATGGAATATATTTGAATTTGTGATGGTCTGATCTATTTTAAAAACAATACATTGACTACTACACATATTTTCTTCTATTGTTTTTAAAGTGGGAGAAATTTGTATGTTAGTTTCTTTTTCTTAACAGAAACTTACCAGAAGATGGAGCTGGAGAAAAAGAAAGCTCGTGCCCAGAAGCAGGCTTATAAAGGGCCTGTGATACGGTATCACTCTCTGACCATGCCAATGATAGAAGAACTGCCCTCAGAGAATGTAGTAGTGGATAGAGATGTGTAAGTTGTATGCCCCTTTATAACCCTGGCAGTATTTCCATGACATAATGTCCACCATCATTATGGATGAAGCTTAGGATAAGTGAGAAGTTTAAAAGTGAAAAACATGGTAGAGAATTACTGATAAATTTTTACAAAACTTGTTTGAATGACAATGAAAAAGGAAAGTACCATAAACATTTTATAAAAAAATGATTGACATTGCATTTGTCTTAAACTGATCTATTTGAAATTTACTAATTGATAGCTAGATGGATTGTAAATCAGAGATTGCTGCTTTTTGAGGTAAAGACAAAAAAAAATGAAGATGCCAAGAAAACTATTTTGTCAATAATAGTTTCAAAAAGGTCATAAGCTGCATATAAATGATGGCACCCACTCTTTTTTTTTTAATTCGCATACTTTTATACAGTATCATTTTTGTAGTTTGTGTGCAATATCTCCTTTCTTAAAAAACTTAGTTTTGATGTTGTTTTTGAATTATTTTTTTATTTACAGTGAATCTCCAAAACCAGACAGTAACGCCACTGAAAACCAAAAGGATGGAAATGAGAAATGTTCCAGAACCTTCATAACATTCACAGATGAGAAATTCTTCAAAGATGTGTTTCATCATAAAAAGTGTAAAACACCTGTGAAGCAGTACTGCCCTGTCACTAGACTCTCTGCCAAGTATTTTGATCCTATAACACAGACACCTTATGCAAATTTGCAGGCATTTAAAATACTTCGAGAAGCTTATAAGAAACAGTTAGAACAGGGAGATAAGAAACCGGTTGATGTTTCTTTGGAACAAAAGAAAAGACAAAAACTGCAACAGCAGGTTCAACAGCAGCAAATCCAGCAACAGCAGCAACAAAAGCAACTGCAGCAGCAACAGTTACAGCAAAAGTTACAGCAACAGAAGATTGTCCAGAATGCTCTGCAGGCACAGCAAGCCTCTTTGGCATTACAGCAAAAGCTGCAACAACAGCAGCAGCAAGCAGTGAAAACAATCCCAACAACCACATTACAACCAGTGAAAGTTCAACAGCTACCCACAGTTGTATCACAAGTCAGTTCTCAACAACAGCAACAACAAGTGCAAATTAAAACCACCCAACAAGTGCCTCACATTATCCAAGTGACACGGATCCAAACCCAACCCCAACAGACGGCTCCAACACTGACCCAGCAATTGTTGCAGAATTCACAACAGCAGGCTCAGCATATACAGCAACCACAACAACCTACACAACAGCAACAACAACAACAACCCCAGCAATCACAACAGCCACTGCAACAACAGCCACAGATTGTTCAACCCCAGCAGAATGCACAAAAGCAATAAAGGACATTAGATTGTATACAAATTAAGAAGGAAACTCTCCTTGTCAAGTCAAGAACTTTATGAAATTTGAATTTTGGTTTTTTATCAAATGACAAACGATATTAATGGAAATTTGAAATATGGATCAAAATAGGTTTCCAAATCTATGTTTATAGAGTTTAAATGTTGATTGAGAATTTAACAAAATTTATATCAGTACTCACCATTTCAAGATATCTGGTTTAACTTTTTGATATATGTATGTCTAATTCTGAGTAATAATAAAAGTTGACAAACTTGGTGTGACAGATTATACACCTCAGACTTTGTCTTAACTTACAAAAGTACAGTTCTTATTGAATTTTTTTTCATGCTGGGTGTAATTTAATATTAAAATCTGTGTTGTACTGGCTAATGTGTGCAATGCAGTATTCTTTTAGGAAGAAAAACTGAAGCAGCAGAGCTGTTGACCAAAAATTAAAAGGGGTATAATAAAAAAATTTGTAATGGCATCTCTTTGATGTGTTCACTGTATCATTGATGGAGGGTTGTTTAGTTATACTTTGGCATCTACCCAAAGCATCTTCAGTTTTTTTTTACAGCAAGATATGAAACTTTCTAAGCACAAAAAAAGAATGTAAGAATGAAAAGTAACTTGTGTAAATATATTTTTTTTATTTTTCATTTTTTTTTCTCACGGTTTTTATACAAAATATACAATGCTTACTGGACAATCATTAAAGGATTTTTTTTTCACGGAGCAAATATCTGATCAATTTTACCCACCAATACGAGTCAAAATAAACAATTTATTTACAACTGTATAAATATTCATTTGGGATCCAATACAAATCTGGCTGTATATCTCTTGGACGGGTAGCAGTATAAAAACAAATTTCCCTGTGTATAAATCTTTTCCATACTCTTCACAGACCAATATCATGCACATCCCTATCATAGGGCAAGCTAAAGTCACATTGAACATGCCAGATATCCAAAGACATTACATCTTGTAACTAGAACTGGTGCTATATCTGTAACAATTTAGTCCCAACGTCATGACAGCTGAGGAATGTTCCAGATCACAGACTAACAGAAATCAAGAAATGAAAGGTCTACTTCCTAGACTGAGACCCTGCCCCAGCCTCCCATGCCTCATCATCAAATGGGTCAATCTGGCGTTTCTTGTACTGCTCCTGGAAATCTGAGCCCAGCATGGCCAAGTCACCTGTATCTCTGATGACACCCTTTGGCAGGTAGCCCAGTAAACGTATGGCATGCTCTCGCAACAACTTCTGTCTCTCCTCCTCGATGATCTGTTTGCGGAATGCCTCCATCTGTTCCTCCAACCTGCGCTCTTCCAATTCCTTTTCCTAGAAGAAAATAAGTCAACAGAATTTAACAATTGTGCCATACCTCCTGCAAGAGTTGTCTAATGCACCGAAGAATTATGCCAAAAATACTGAAGAAAATTATATATTTCTCCTTCATGCAGATTGTCATATTAAAAAAAAGTTCTGTTTCTTGAATTAGTTTTCAATTTTGATGTCAAAACCTCCTTTGGCTCCTTTAATCATGATTTCAATCCAGAACACGTGGAAAATATGAGATACTTACTCTGTCTGCTGAGAACTGCTTCCTTCTGTCCTCAATCAACTGTTCTACAGCACGCTTGTGTTCTAACTGCTTCATGCGACGTTTCTGAGCATTCATCTGCTCTATTCGGTCATCCTCCGCAAATTTGGCCAACATCTGAAATTTAGAATAACAGAAATAAGAAGTTGAGGCACCAGATATAAAACAGAGTATTTACTATTGAAAATTTGTACACTGTACTTGTTAAAGTTTTGTTGTAAACTTCAAATGCTAAATGCTTCATAACATCAATTTATTTTTTTTAATGCAACAGTTAATCGTTAAAGTATAATAAGGACTTAAAAACTGGTATCAGTTTTCTGTACTGTTGAAAATTTGTCTTCCATACCTGTCTTCTGAACTCATCTTCTTCCTCTTTCTCTGCCTGCTGACGCATGGCTTTGTACCTCATCTGCTCAGCGTGTTGTCTCTGAAGCTCCAGTCTTTCACGCAGTTGTCGCTCAATCGCAGCCTTAAAAAGAAATAAAGTTATTAAATTTCAGGCAATCCCACAATGTGTGCCTATATATTATTTAAAAATAACTCTTCCACACCAGACACAAACTAAGATATTATTCTGGTTATGAAGAGATTGGACATTTTCCCCAAAATATGAACTTAGCAAAGGTAAATAAAGTTCAAACATTCAGAATTCAGAATTCATAATAGAA